CAACCCAAACCATTCTGTGATTCTATGAAGCCAGTGGAAATTTAGGGCATGTGTATCCCATAGACTGTTTTACAACAATACACACATAGTGTTGGTTTTTCAGTGTTTCTCGTTATCTGGGAGCTATTTAGTTTTCAAGAAAGGAACCATATAATTCCATAGGCTTTTGGAATGGTGGGGGGGAGGTGTTTGAAGAGAATTAATGGTGAGTCGTGATTTTAGTTGGACATTCACATTAGAAATCATTTAATGTTTGCAGTGGAAGGTGGTGGTAGAAGCCAAAAATCCTGCTGGAATGCGGAAAATAGCTAGATTGAGGAAGGATGTTAAAAATGCACAAAGTTAGTACAAAACATGATGACTGCAGGAAGGAGGAAAAAACAAGCTACAGTTAATGTGATACTGCAGAGCTGGCCAGGGGATTTTGTTTAAATGAACGTATAAAAGTGAACACAATTTTGCCATGTACACTCTTCAGTCCCTTGTGTACGCTGTTGAGTCACCTAGCTAATTTTGTCTTTTTCTTCCTAGTTTTATTAAAGAACTGCAATATAAATTATGACTTTCACCATTTTATCCAAAGAAATGGACCTATAAGGAGAATACACGGGATTGTTACAGTTCAATTGTAAAACATTTTTGACAGAACTCCAAAATTCAGCTTACCTCTCAAGAAAACTGTAAATGTCTGAATCCTAAAATGTGATTTATCGTTGGAATATCCTTTCAAAGCATTAAGAACTTTTGCATCAATCATTTCAACTATTTGTTTATCTTTCAAAATAAAGGCAAATAAAAGGTTAGTTCTCTTGAAGACTGTACAGCTTTTTTAAAATTATTGTTTAACTAGTGTATTTTGGGGCTTTTTCCACTTAAACTGTTTTTTTTTTACTTACTATGTAACAGAAGTAGGAAAGTAACAATCTAAAAATAAAACTACATAGATCCTACCACCAAGTACTCTAAATTTCATGTCTTCCTGCAGCAGCGAAGAACACAAACTACACACAAAATCATTCCTCACTGTGGCAGATTCTGTAGCTCCAGGCAGATGCACTCTTATGTACCTAAATCCTAAAAAAAAATACATAAAAATTAACCAAACATGGCTTTCATTTTACATTTCCCATTAAGAATAGAAGTGATTAAAATACTGGACAGTGAAATTCCAAATTTATCATGTTTCTTCAGAGGAGCGTATGTTCATATACTACACTTCCACTAAAGCAATCCGTATAATTTAAAACAGGTTGCCACAAGGTGGCAACATTCTCTATTGCACATTCTCGAGTGGAACAGCTTGGCCTGGCTTTCAGAGCTGCAGGGAGCAAGCTATCACCACTTCTGCCTTGCTTGGAAATGCATGGGGTACAGATACTCATTATTAGAAGTATGTGCCCTCATAGAGACATCATTACGAATTATTCTGCAATCTCCTAAGTTTGGGATTTGGCTTCTTTTTTATTATTTTATGGTCTTTGTTACAGGAAGAAGCAAAGAAAACAGCCTTAAAAGTACTTAAAGCCTCATCCTAGAATTATACAAGCACTTCAGTAATATTACTCAGAGAAGTAGTTCCACAGAAGTCGGCTATGCATTAATGCAGACTTGTTCTATGCTAGAAGCTTTTGCCAGTCACTTAAGCATACTGTGCTGTGGTATTTTTGTATAAACAGAAAGTTTCCCTGAAAAAAAATTCTACTAGTTTAGCTTTTCCTTCAGATAATTTATTAAATTATATTGGTGACATATCTTTTCTCATATAAACTATCTTCAGCATTAGGAAAATGGATTGCTGACATAGCTATGCTGCCAAAACGTTTAATAATGCTGAGCAACTACTGGCAAGGTCCACTGCTTTCAATTAATAAAAATCATGCTGTTCTTATTACAAAAACATCTGCATAAGAAAATGCCTTTTTCATGCTTGGTTTTTAATCTTTGTTATCAAAATTATTAAAAAGCTTTTTCTTTTTTTTTTTTTTTAACTACCTTCAGAAAATGGACAGGTTTCCTCAGTACAAAGAAATCTTGCTCCTTGTGTATATTTTGTTATAGTTCCCATTGCAATCGCTATTCCTTCAGACATATAAAATCTTTGAGATGTGTAATTAAAGGGAAACGCAGAAAGACTCAGGACATAACTTGGTAAAGGTGGTAGATGTGTTGGTTTCAGCAGTATACTAATCTAACAAGAGACACAATTACATTAATACCATAATTTTTTTTTATTTAAAACCGCTTTACTTAGATGGATAAACACACAATGTGATATATAGCTATTAGAAAAAAATTTCAGAAACGCATGAAGTATAAGAGTAATTAGGTTTCATATTAACTATCTCAAAATTCTTGCAATATGATTGGGTGAGACTTCCAGCTATTTTTAATTACAACTAATACTACAACCAAAGGGAAAATGAAACCTGAAAAGTTAATACAAAAATAATATTTATTAATACTTCATTATACTTAAAAGATGTAAGATCTAAATGGAGGAAAGCAATGCAGACTCACCTGCGCTTCTGTCTGCAGTTGTTCAATTAATGATAATGTCTTACTAGCTATGAAACATACCTGTGATTGAAAAACAAATTCATTTTAGAAAGGAAAATCTAGTTAAAACATAGAAGATGTACTTTTGTCTACTCTTGTCTATAAATATACACTTACTGACTGAAAAATCTGTGCAGCTTGTATGGGACTATGAAGAATGTAGTTTCCAAGAGTTGCATCTAATTCAGCAATATCAGAAGGATTTATTGAAATAACAAAACGATAAACAGCATAACTTTGTTTTGAGTCTGTAGGAGCAAGAAATACCTTAAAAATAACTTGTGTAACATTATGTATCAATTTAACAGACTATCTATTGAGTGAATAATACCATTATATTTTTTGCAATCGTGCACGAATTTCTGAAGACCACCACTTCTGTCAAGGTAAACAAGGGCAATTTCCCTCATTTTCTGTATTTCACGATGCATCTTCCAAGAAAGATGTTTGCACTCTATCAAAATGTTGGAATAAACTGTGAAGAAAATATGTTAGAAATGGCCATGCTACAATTGTAATAAAGGTACGTATTAAGAAAGCCATACAAAATTAAAATAGCCTCCTTTCCAAACTATGCAATTCTTTAAGGATTTTTTAAATCCAGTGGAAAGTTCTTTCCAATGGCTGAGGCGTACTGCATTCCCAAAGTAAATTCCTGAAGAATGCTCTAGTGTTTTCTTTTCTCAGTGAATTATTTCACTGTCCAATTCCCTAACCCATGAAATTAAAGCCTGCATTTAATTTAACCTCCTCTATATATTTTATAGGCATAATCAGTCTATCAAAAATAAGACTTAAATCTCTCGTTTGAGAAGTCTGTCATAGCTGTTGAAAGTGTGACACTGGGCAACGTTTTTTCCTTTTTTTAAATCTGACTTTGCTACATGGTGTTACCTCCTGTAGCGCCCACTTAAGGTGTTGATCTTGCAAATACTTATTTCCATCCATGTACACAGAAGACCAAGTCTGATTCCCATAGCCAAAACTTTCACAACTACAGTTTCAGTTTGGAGGCTGACCATGCTCTTCAGTGCTGTTTTCATTGTGTATTACGCACAACTCTGCATTTTATTTTTTTAAAGTAGAATCTTGTACCATGAAGCACTACTTTGCTGAATTTAGAGGGAGAATTGCTAAGGCCAAAATACGGTATTTTTTACATACATATCTGTTTTACTGTCTTACAGATTTTCTTCTATCAAATGTCCTTTGTCCTCTCTGTAGATGACCAATAAGAAATACCACTTAAATCTTCAAAAATAGATTTAGCTACCTGGTAAAGGAAAAGACACAGAATTACTGGGCTGATGAGGAAGCCAAGCTCATAGTGTGTGAAAGATCCCTTGTAGGAGTTCACAGAACTGGCTTTGGAGGACAAACAGATGAACATCCAAGAGGAGTAACTGGATACCTGTGCAACACTTGTGTGGCAGCAATGTAACCCTGTCATCTGAGAACTGTACGCTGTGGGCTAGTAGATGTGTTTAGTGTGTGGAGTATCAAAATTTAAGCACAAGTTCAAAGAGGATTTATAGTAGGAGTTGTTGGGGTTTTTTTTTTAGCTTCTTGAGGATTACTCATACACGATTACCGCTCTATCCCTTGAAATCTTCAGCAAGAAGGGATTAAAGAAACACACGCACAGATCCATCCTATCTCCCTAGACCCTGTGTTCCCCAGACTAGAAGGAAGGGACACCAAACACGATTAGGAAAGACAAAGCTATGGCCCAGATCATCGTGCACTGAACACGGTCATCGCCTAAGCTTCAAAAAAATAGTCTGACCAGATGCACTGCCTGGGTGCCCATACTCATTGGTGAGAACACAGCCAGCTAACCCCACTCAGCCACGCTCCAGTGTGACATGCATGGCACCCAACACCACTCTCCTGCCTTCACGCTCCTGCCTTCACGCTCCTGCCATCAGCACCCCTTCCTCACAAACCTCACCGTCGCTTTCCCCAAAATATTCTCCAGGGTTGCTACGTGCTGCTCTTCAGCACTGCTGTGGCGGCAGCAACGGGCATTGAGGGTGACCAGGTTGCCCACACCGCAGCAGGGAGAGGGGCCGCGACGCCTTTTCCCTACGAGGCCGCTGGTGTGCCCGCAGGAGAGGTGAACGGGACCATTTACGAAGC